GGTTTAAGTAATCATATGTTATTTTTAAATCTGGAACGGACCGTTCAGATTTCAGAACGGCCTGTTCTGGTGTAGTTTATCATGTGTTTTTTTTTTCTTCTAGAACGGCCCGTTCTGGTGCATTATTCCTGTGTTATTTTTTCATCTAGAACGGGCCGTTCTGGTTTCAGAACTGCCCGTTCTGGAAGTGACAGCTGCTGCGTCAGTCATCGTAATACGTGTTTTTTTTAGGTAATTTAAAAAAAAAATTCAGTAAAATATTCTGAAATTTTATCCAGTGTGTGAAGGTGTACAATATATTTTATCACTAAATCACAATCTCAACCATTCATTGTTTTTAATATTATATATATGGTGATTTTAAATGCACCATCCATGGACCACTTGTCCAACTTCTCCATCATAGACATCACCTGTATTTTGAGTGAAAACATGAAAATTTCTTTAGAAAATGGTCTTCAAAATTAAATTTTGGTTCAAAAGTCAATTATGTATAAGGAAGATATTAGAATCTTATAACGTTTGTTAAAATAGTACATTTATTTAACTGTACAAAATTATATAATTTTACAAATATCTTTTTATCTTTAAGAAATATATTTTGATCCTTCAAATTTTTATTATTTTTTTAATGAAAAGATTTCTTTTTGTATTTTTATTTAAAAAACTTTTGTAAGAATTTTAGTAAATGACTAATCAATAAACCCTTACAATAATGTTAAAGATAGAAATGTTATTCAATTCATCTTATTGGATGCAATAAATAAATAAATAAATATATATATATATATATATATATATATATATATATATATATATATATATATTATCAATATATGACAATTTTCATTTTTTAGGCAATTTATAAAAGAAATAAAATTATCCATGCATAAGAACTTATGTTAGAAAATTGTTAATCATTAAATCATCACAATCAAATTATGTTAAAGATAAAATTGTTATCTAAATAATATTATTAGTTGTTGCATATTGAGAAAAAAAATTTAAGAAAACAATTTTTGTTACATGCACAACATTCATGATAATAAATGACTATTTCATAAACTTTTATGATTCAAGTGACATTAAGACAGATATACTACTCAATTAAAATCACAAAATATTGCATGAGTTAAATTATGCTTTTATTCCTAATTACAAATTCTACTTTGAAACAACCTATTCGTTATAATTATAGATTAAAAACGAGATAAATTCAAATACTTTATTTTATTATTTTATTGTATATTATCATTTGTACAAAGAAAAGGGAAAATAAAACAAAAGATACAATGCATCAAAATATACCACGCAATAGTTTCCAATTTAAAGAATTTGAGCCTTAAACTTGCTCTCATTGATTTACAAGTGAAAACAAAATATAATATGTATATATATATATATATGGGGAATGCTAATGTACTCTCACTTATTTTTTAGTGGGAGTATGTTGTAACACCCTATTATTTTAATATTATTATTGGGTATTTTCGTAAGTTTTAAGGGTATTTTTATAAATATTAATGGCATTTTCGCAATTTTACTAAAGTTTGGGGGGTAAATAGGTAACTTGGAACGGGCTGTTCCAAAATTGGAACGGGTCGTTCCAAGCAACAAAAGGATACTGAAATTTTAGGTTGGGAACGGGCTCAGAACGGGCCGTTCCAACAAGGAGAACGGGCCGTTCCGGAAGGTATATTAATACAAATTAAAAATATAAATAATATGTACATATATAATATGCTTGCAATTGATATCACAAAATAATATATGCAATATCTACATAGATATTATATTATTAAATATATAATTTAAAATTAATAATATACTATAAAAGTTATTTAAGTTGTATATATTATAAACAAATACATTAAAATAAGTAGTCATTGTTATATTTAATAAGAATCTTTGTTCTTCCTTTAAGAAATTCAATTATTATATTATTATTTTTGTGGTTTATGGTCCCTTAAAATTATTTTTAAAAAATAAGAAAAAAAAGTGGTTGAACCGGTTTGACGCACCGGTTCACCGATTGAACCGAAAAATTGACCGGTTCAATTTAGTTTGAAACGGGTCGATTGCATAACCAATCCAACTTAAGATTTAGACAGGCTGGACCACCGGTTCCCGGTTCAACCGGTCCGACCGGCCGGTTCGATCCGGGTTTTTAAACACTGATTCATGAACATTTTATTGCTACCTTTTTCAGAAACAAAATTAAGGTTAAAAGCAAACTAATGGCTAAATATCCAAATCCTACCAAAACAAACGAATAGGAGTATAGCAATAATAATAAAATTATATCAAAATATTGAAATGTAAATAAGTAAAAAAGGTGCACCATGTCTATCAAGTTCTCAAAATTACACATTCTATTTTATAGAAAAAGAAGATAAACATTTCGCATAAAAGGTACAAAAAATTAGATGAGACCTAAATGCATAATGTAAATAATACAAACAGTAATATTGTAACTTGACAGTACAATTGTTGTAGTTTGTGTGACTATCCCATGTAAAACGTAACCATGAACTAGGGCAGAATACAATTGTTGTAGCTTGTGTGACTATCGCGTGTAAAATGTAACCATGAATTGTGCAGTTTTTTTTTCTTCTAATCTTTTGAGGTTTTTTTTGTCCCCTTTTTCTGATGTTGGCAAGTGGTATTTATAATTGTATGTAGTCCACATTTGTAGTAAGAAATATTCCATTATCTCCTATTTTTATGTCATCACTTAATCACACCTTATCTCTTCAATCACAATTAAAATATTTGACTATGTTATTCTCTTATTTTCTCCCGTTTAACTAACGTATTATCTCACATATTTTGATTTTTTTTCTTTTTTCTTTTTAAATTCAAAATATTCTAAGATAACAAAATTTGTTACTCATAATTATTGTAAAAATAACATTTCTTGAGGTTACTAAGTAAGAAAATAAAATTAGAAGCTCTTATAAAGTGTTATGGCATTTAAGGTTATGAATATATTTTTATCAAATTTTTTGTACTCTACAAGTAACTTGCATCCCGACTCAATGTATAATGTACATTGTTTTATTCCCAACCCAATTATAATAACACAATAAAACTTTGTATGTTTACACATTTGAGCCCGAGGGACTTGGGTTGCCTACACATTTAAACCCTAAACCCTATTATGAGTCAATATATATACAATTATGGATATATTTTTAATATATCTTGGCATTTAGAGATTGATCCTAACATGCAAGGAAATTACCTTTATAGATAGGATTATGAGATATTAATGATATGTGGTTATAAATATTTATTAAATTGTAAGATTTGCAAGCATTAGTTACGATCAATTTAAGATTAAGGAGCGAAGGGAAGAGATTCTGACCTCAAGATATACTCAATATATAAGAATTCATCACCAAGTTTAGAGTCAGATTTGCACTAACTAAATGTTGTGGACTAGGATAGTCGTTAAGTCTTTTTAGAAAAATTTTCAATAAATAATTTTATTTATGAATATTGAAATTAATGTATTTTAGACATTGGTTGGTGTTCTTACCTAGAATAGCTTGGATGCTGATATGTCTAGATGAGATCTCCTATTCGTCTAATTCCCTCGTCTAGTGATACAATGTCTTCTTCTCTTCTCAAGTTGGGGGCGTACCTACAAAAAGGACTCCGATGCTTAAGTTGGTATATCGTTCTCTTGATATCTCTTATTATTTATATTACACATACCTCTTTTGAGTTGAATTATCTTATCTATATGGATAAGATATTTTTTGCGATTTATGCGTTGTTGCTTGAATTTATCTTTTTTGGCTGAGCCTTTTAGTCGACATGATATGCCGATGTCGTTTAACGATTTGTATGGTCAAGTTTTTTTTCATCTCAACCAGGTTGGTACACTAACCCCTTAAGCTCTGAATTCTGTCTGAATAAAAGAGGTCTATTTTTGAATAATTATTCTTGCCATGTGTGCGAGGCATGAATAATTTTTGGCAGCAGGAGTGTTTTGGATTCCAAAGGGCATGGATTACTTCTAGCGACAAGAGCATTTTTTTGTAAGTTCTTGGTCGTCTAGTATTTAAGGTGTGTCGCTTCGTTTTTGACATGCCTCGGGATGGTATGTTTGGCATAGTTGAGTCATTTCATTTTGTGTGTTTCCCATGCCTATAAGTGGGTGAGCGTAGCTTTACATTGTTATTCATTCATTTCTCATCTCCCTTTGCTCTTTCAAGTTATCTCGCCTCTTTTTTCTTCCGTTTCGTCTTTCTGCAATTGTTGGTGCTCAAAGGGTTCTAAATCGTCTGCTTTCTTCCTACTTTGTTACTTCTTCAGGTACAAGACTTTTCTTTCTTCTTCCTTTGTTGTTGTTCTTAGTCCTTTTCTACTTTTTTAGAGGTCTTTATTTTGGAAATGGAGAGAGAGTATGGTGCTTCCCCTTCTCGCACTCATTCTGACCTTACTAGGTTGCCTCCATCTAAGGAATTGGGTATGTGTAGTGGGGAGAAGAATATTACTTCCAAGAGGTTGAGTGTAGACGCCAATGATAAGCAGAAAAGAAAATGAGGTGGGAATGATAAGAAGGATTCACACCCTTTAATCTCTGTTCTTGGGTATGAATGGGTAAAGGGAGACGTCGGTAAGTTTAGTAGTAGGTTTGGGTCCCTTCTCGAGGTAAACTTACTTCGAGAGAGGGTGGTGGTCTACCTTCCCTCTTTCTTTGACTTGCTAGTCATTGAGCCTTGTCATCCCGAGGAGCAAGTGTCTGTTCTTCAAGAGTTCATTTCACCATCCTTATGTTTATATGTACCAATGTATTTTTAAGGATCTCAGGGTTTCGATTCCTTTTTCTTCATTTGAGTGCGAGTTTCTGAGAAAAATCAACGTTGCTCTCATCTAATTGCATCCTAATAGTTGGGCTTTTAGCGCATTTTTTAAGTTCTATGCTCTGTTTTGAATATCAAATTGTCTCTAGCCAAATTTATGCATTTTTATCAATTGAAACTCGGAGAGCCCCTTATGTTTGGGTGTCATTGAGTGGTAGTTCAAAGGGGGACTCTTTAAGCTTTTTTCCTAATCTTACAAGAATTTTAAAGAAGAGTTTTTTAAGATTAGGCCTATTTGTGATGACCCTGCTTTTGATAACATTTTCCATTTAGATAAGGAGCCCATGTTTCCCTTTTATTAGCAATCTCATCCTTGAAAGTTCTCTGGCTCTGAAGGCTTTAATTTGACTTCATCCGAGGAGGAGGACTTAGATAAGTTGTAGTTTTTACCTTGGCCTCTAGAAAGCAAAGTGGTGTTTTTGCTTTCTAAATCCAAAAACATTGAAAAAGACCTAAAAAATGAGTACTCACTAGTATGGTTTATTTCTATATTATTGATTTCTTCTATTTCTGGTGGTGTTTCTTTTCTTTTTTCTCGTAGAGCTCATGGGTAAGAGCAAGTGGCGTGGGTCAAATGCTAAGTTCAACACCGAAGAGGAAGATATCCTCGATGTTAAGGAGGACCTCTAACCTTGGCCAGTACATGTGACAAGTCGTTGTTTTGCTAAAATAGTAACCAATAAATTTTAAAGACGATAAAAGGAATTAAACTCAAGTTTCATAGATAAATTAAACGTAGATGGTATAAAGAAGTATTTGTATTGCATGAGGTTGCAAGTTTTCATCCTTTTATTCTCTTAAGGTGTGCCTCATTAAAACCTCTTCAACCAAAACCTGTTATTTTTTAGTGGGAAAAAAAATCAAAGTAGGAAAAAGAGTACATCACCTGAGTTTACATGTTTTAACTAAAATAAAACTTTAAGTGTGTTGCATTCCAGGTCCTTAGTAGGGCTTTTCCATTCTTCTCTTCTAATCAGTATGCTCCATTATACAAGTTTTCTACAACTCGGCAGGGTCCTTCCCAATTAGCAACGAATTTCCCATCCAAGGAGTTCTTCCTTGCATCTCTTGTGAGTTGCCAAACCAAGTCTCCTTCTCAGAAACATCTCGACTTCAACTTGGAATTATACCTTTGAGGCACGGAGTTTGCAAGCTTCCTCCTTTATTCTAACATTTTTCTATTTTCTTCAAGGAGATTGAGGTTGTTCATCAGTTCTTCGCTATTTTGTGTTTCATTGAAGGTGAGCCTCCGGTTGGATGGTTCCCTGACCTCTACTATATCATGGCATCGGATCCATAGGTTAATCTGTAGGGCATCTCTTGTGTTGTTGATTGGGGTGTGAAGTGGTATGCCTAGAGGACGTTGGGTAACTCATCCACCCAGTGCCCCTTAGTGTTGCCCAACCTCTTTTTTAACTTGTGAAGAATCATTTTATTTACGACTTCAACTTGCTTATTAGTTTATGGGTGTTCGAGCGAGGTGACATGTGGTTAACATCGAGTTGGAGTAAGAATTCTTTGAACTTCTTATCGGTGAGTTGCTTCCCATTGTTAGTGATAATGTTGTGTGGCAACCATATCGACATATCACGTTCTTCCAAGTAAATTTTTGTACATTTTGTGTTGTGATTCTAGCTGGTGCTTCTACTTTGATCCATTTTTTGAAATAATCAATAGCCATAATCAAGAACTTAAGTTGGTCTCTCATAAGGGGAAATGGTTTGAGTTTGTCCATCCACACCGTGCGAAACGACCAAGGTGATTGCATTTGATGGAGAGCTTCAGGGGAAGCCGGTGTACATTATCGAACTCTTGATAAGGTTTGCATATCTGCACATAGCTAGCCTTTGCAATTCGACTTTATGGTGGGCCAATAGTATCCAACTCAGATTACACGTTCGACCATGGACTAAGCTCTAGAATGCATTCCGCATATGCCTTTGTGGATCTCTTCGATCACATACTTCGCTTGGGATTTTGTTAGACATTTTAACAGTGGGGTGGATACACTTCTTTTGAAGAGTTTGCCTAATTCAATGATGAATTGGCACGACTTAGTTTTTATTTTCTTTGCCTTGGCCTTCTCACCTGGAATATCTTGGATGCTGATATGTTCGAACGAGAACTCCTATTCGTTTAATTCTCTTATTTGATGATATAATGTCCTCTTCTCTTCTCAAGTTGGAGGGAGTACCTGCAAAAAGGAATTTGATACTTAAGTAAATATATCACTCTCTTGATATCTCTTATTATTTATATTATACGTATATCTTTTGAGATTGGATTATCTTATATGTGGATAAGATGTCTATTGTGATTTATGTGTTGTGGGCATATTGTAACTGAATTTGTCTTTTTTGACTGAGCCTTTTAGTCGATATGATATGTCGATGTCGTTTAACGATTCATATGGCCAAGTTTTGTCCATCTCAACCAGATTGGTATAGTTAGTAATTTAATTTTTAAATAAATAATTTAATTTGACTAAAATAAACTTATAGTATAATTTTTTTTTTATTAATAAATTAAATAGATATTTATATATGGTAAGTTTATTTTTTTTACTTTTATAATAATTACTTTAAAAATTCTAATTAGAATTACTGTTAATTAATTTAAAGTGTGAAAATCCTTACGTTAATCATGTCAAAAAATTAAACTCACAATGTTAAACTTAAATCTGTTGCAAACTAAACATTAAAAAACAAGACCCATCGCCAACCGTTTAGCCTTTCGATTATATCAGGTTCAGGTTAAGTTGGGTAGGGTTAAAACTTAAAATGGGCCCGTTATTACAGATCTACCACTATACAAGTCTCCATTGATCTTACCTTTATTTCTGAAAACTCCAAGTCCCAGAAGAATGGTTGAAATAGTGACAATGTGCGTTGTGGTGTGCATGATGTGTGGTTTTGTTTGAGAAACATGAAGAAAAGAAAACTATCGTGATTAATCGTAGGAACTACTGCCTATCATAATTCTCTAATAAAATCATATCCTCTTATTTAAGAAATTTAGTTGTATAAATATTTTCTTAACACAAATAAAATAAAGTAAAAATATAAAATAAATTAAAAATTTTCAAATATTTAGAAGTACATAAGCTAATTTTAATCTATAAAAAACAATTAACTTATTTTACCTTCTAATTTTCTTCTATTATCATTATCTGATCCAAATCCATTCATTAGCTGTATTTTTACCTGCAGGAACGATATATGGTGCCAAGGATCAAGTGTAAGCCACTGCCAAGAAACAAGCTTCTAAGCCCAATTATATTTCATGATGGTCGTTTAGTTCAGAGGCCAACTCCTCTAGTTGCCCTCTTGACCTTCCTATGGATGCCAATTGGTATTATACTCTCTCTCCTAAGGGTTTGCCTTAACATCCTTCTGCCACTAAGAATTGCTTGGTACTACTATAAGGTTCTGGGAATAAGGGTCATAAGGAAGGGTACCCCTCCACCACCACCAAAGAAAGGTCAAAGTGGAGTGCTATTTGTTTGTAACCACCGTACAGTTGTAGACCCTGTGGTTATAGCTGTTGCACTAGGAAGGAAAATTAGCTGTGTCACATATAGTATAAGCAAATTCACTGAAATCATTTCACCAATCAAAGCAGTGGCACTATCAAGGGAGAGAGAGAAAGATGCGGCCAACATCAAGAAATTGCTTGAAGAAGGAGACTTGGTGATTTTCCCTGAAGGCACCACATGCAGAGAACCTTTCCTTTTGAGGTTCAGTGCTCTTTTTGCTGAGCTAACTGATAGGATTGTCCCTGTTGCCATCAACACAAAGCAAAGTGTGTTTCATGGGACCTCGGTTCGCGGGCACAAATTGTTGGACCCTTATTTTGTGTACATGAATCTTAAGCCAACATATGAGATCACTTTCTTAGACCAGTTACCAACAAAACTCACCTGCAAGGGAGGGAAATCTGCAATTGAAGTTGCAAATTATATTCAAATGGTTCTTGCGGGGAGTCTGGGGTTTGAGTGCACCAATTTAACAAGGAAGGACAAGTATACCATGCTTGCAGGAACAGATGGAACGGTTCCATCTAAGAAGAATGCTTGAATTTGGACAGGCACAAAGTAAATCTTCTCTGATTTTCTCTATTGGTTAGGTTGTTTCCAAAGTCCAAACACTTGGAATTGTTAGAGGAATAAAAACCATGTGTTTGTTCCCATAAAAATATCAGTTAATGTATATTGTTATTATATATAATGATAATAAATACCAATTATAGTTCATGTTGCTGGTCTATCCTAAAATTTCTGGTACATTTTCTTTTTGCATAGAGGTTATAATAATTTTCCGCTACCATATATGATGGTATTCACAAATATAGTTGTTGTTTGTTGTTCAAAATTTGGTGTATCATCTGAATGGTTTTATTGTCTTTGGTTTGTATTGTCTTTTGTTTACACTATCTTATAAGTTTACTTTGTCTTTAGTAGTTTAATAGATTCAGACAAAATACATTTTGCCTTTTAATTCAGGTGGGTTTAGTTTGTTTTATTTTATAAATTTTTTGTTTAAGTGTTTTGAATTTCTATATATATTTATTTTGGGATCCTTTCTAAAATGTGGAGTGGGAAGAGAGGAATAGTGGGAACATAAGTACAAACACGTGAAGGAGATAGGGGTGTTCAAATTGCTAAACTAAACTAAACTAGAAGAAAACTAAACTAAACTATTATCTAGATTAGTGCACTATAGTTCTAGGAGTTTGAACTAAACTATAATATCAATTAAATTAACTTATTATTAATTATAACATTTTTCTATTTACGTGAGATTGTTTTCATTTTTTGTTAATTATAGGCGTGCAGAAGAAAAAATAAACTTCAAATGTAGGTGAAAAATTGAATTGGTGTTTTTTTATTTCGGTAAAAATTACCATAACAATAAAAGTGTTCAAACTTCAAATCTAAAATCGGATACTCCCACGAGTGTTAGATATTATTTAACCCATAGAAATTACGTGTCATGTAAGTATAAATTAATTCTTATTTATCAAGATTAAAATATTATATAAATCATGTTTATGAAAAATAAATAAATATTTTATATAATACTCTAACCGGCCCTCACTATCAAGTCAATATAATAATTCAATTGAGTTGTAGTTTAACCACGTACGTAATAACAAATTTTTACGTGTAAAAAAAAATTATGCATAAAACTTTAAATGTAACGTTCAGGACAGTGAAATACTATTTTGCTAATTTTTCTCTAGAAGTCAAAAAAGAGCATTAACAACACCCTTAATTTTGTTGATCCTTTAAAAAAATAACTATCTTAAATGAAAATATTTTTCAACAAGAACATTTATTTTTCTCAAAGGAAGTGTTCTGGTAATTTTTCTTAACTTTTTCCCTTTTTTAATAAATCACTTTAATTTTATTTTAAATTAAAATTTAATATTGTTTAAAATTATCAATAATTAAAAACAACTTTATATCACAATATACATTATTTATTATAAATTTAAAAATATAATTTATATAGTAAAAATATTTATTTATGACAAATTTCAATTACAATAATTTATATAGGCAAAAAATATTTATTTATTATAAGTCATATATATATATAATTATCTTCTACAAAAATATTTTTAAGGACTATTATTTAATTAAAGTGTTTTTAGTTATTTTTCTTTTAGAATAGTGTTTCTTGATATTTTTTCATATAGCTTATAATTCATCATTATTGTTTTCATTTCTAAATTAAATTTCAATTTTTTTAAAAGAATTAATCAATAGTTAAACAAAACATTCATAAAATAAATTATTTAACACATATATAAAACGTAATTTACATAATAAAATATTTACATATTACAAATCTTAATAATAATATAATTTTCATATTGAAAATATTTATTTATTTTAAATTTTAATTATACTGAATAAAAACTTATGGTGTGCACTGCAAATAGCCACATATTAAATGAGTTTTTGTAAAATAGTTAAAAACTGAGTGTTAGTAATGTTCTCTTTAAAAGTCTGAACGACGAACGTGGTAGTCTGGTAGTCTCCGACTCTCCGTGAATGTGTTTCAGACTTTCAGTGCTTGTATTTGGTTTTAGTGAACTGAACTATTAATTTTAATAGTTTAGCTTTATAAACTACACTAAAAATAATAGTTTGCTTTAAACTATTAAAAAATAATTTAGTTTATGTTCTTACCGGAAATCTGCTATAGAGGTGATCCATCGAGTAAGATTGGTGAGCCTCCTTCGCTGGTACGCTTGATGTTCCAAGATGGGGGTGGTACCTGCAAAAGAGACTCCGATGCTAAAGTTAGTGTTTGTGGGAGTATGAGTCTCGCATAAGTAATGCACGTACCTTTGTGTGGATTAAGGTTTTGTTGGGCCTTGGGCCTGAGATCAGTTGTGATCTAAATAGATAGCGAATCTCGTCTGGACCGAGATCTCCTCAGATCAGTTATGATCTGGTTAATTGACAAGCTGACGTCACGTAGCGCGTATCCGAGGTCGTCATGCGCTGCAATGCCGAGCTGGGAGCTCGGCCTTGCAGTACGGATAATACACTAGCCCCCCGAGCTCCAAAGACCGTGGGTCGAGGAGTTAAGACCAAGCTCGTCAAGTGGCTGTGACCCCTCGCATACGCGTGCTTGTTGAGATTCCATGTGTCATAACTGATCATCTCCCGAGAACGTGCAAGTGTCGCGTTAATTTGAGTGACGAGTATTTAAGGATGTTTTGGCTTTGTCATAATTGTTCTCAGTTAATGTGTCATCAGATGTGTCCCTTGGCTGACACGTGGCGTGACCGTTTTGTATTTGGGAGAAACCCTTTTCTCTCCCTCGCGCCTTTCCCCTTTTCACTTTACTCATTTTTCGCTCTTTCAACTTCTTGCGCACGCTGTTTCTCTCATTTTTCTGGTCATCCTCCGTCCCCGTTTTTTCGTTTCCAGTAACCCAGTCATTGTTAGGGTTGTTTTTTGAGGAAGAGTACCAGGTACTTCCTTTCTACAGTTTGCTTTTTCTTTCTTCCCCAATCTTCTTCGAGTCTTTCTTGTTTTTTTTTTCATGGCTGGAGGGAGTGGTGTTGGTTCCTCCGCGCCTGCCAAGGGTAAAGGCAAAGCGCGGGGCAAGGCGGCGGCTACCGGAACGGCTGCCGCCCGGAACGGCCGCCGTCGGTAAAAAGAAGGAGGTGGCGCCGCCAGCGGACCTCGTTCTAGGTATTCCTGGGTATGACTGGGTTCGGTGTGAGATGGCGGGGGTCCAAAGCGTTTTTCGGTCCTTTCTTGAGGTGAATGGGATCTTGAAATCGTGCAGGGTTTGCGACCCTTCCATTTCCCGGATGATCTGGCTTGAACCTTGTCAGGCCGGTAAGGGTGTGTACATGGGGAAGTCTACCGACCCTCCCCATTTCTATATGTACCATTGTTTTTTTAGGGATTTAGGTGTCTGCCTTCCCTTCACTCAGGTCGAGTGTGATTTTTTGAACTTTGTCAACTCGGCCCCTAGCCAGTTGCACCCCAATAATTGGGGTTTTTTGAGGGCTTTTCAAGTCTTGTGTTCAGTTTTAGGGATAGAGGTGTCCCTTCCCGTCTTTCTTTATTTTTACCAGTTGAAGATAGGCGTTCCGCCATATGGCATACTGTCTCCGAGTGGGAGTAGGGATGGGGGTTTGTTTACTCTTTACTCCTAGTCATACAAAAACTTCAAACAAGAGTTTTTCCGAGTTGCTCTTGTGAATGTCGACCCATTGGAGGATGGGGCGTTTTACTTCGGCAGGCTGCCAAAATTCCCTTTCTGTTGGTGCCCCAAACCGTCTAGGTTTCATGGGGTGGGCCAATTGAAGCTGACGGCTTCGGAGACGGCCACCGTCGAGAACCTCGCATCGCTTCCTCGTCCGCTGGATTGCAAGCTCGTTCTGTCGCTTGCGAACTCAGCATACAAGGAGAGGGGCTTGGAGAGTGAGTATTTCGTCCTCTTTAGATTGTTAGGGTTTGCAAAACCTTCTTTTGCTGATGTGTTTTGCTTTTTGTGTTTTCAGGCATAATGGGCAAGAATAAGTGGAAGGAGCTGAAGCACCACTACAACATTGCTGACCTTGAGGTTCCCGAGCCTCAGGAGGAGGAGATGTCCCCCCTAAAGGTCAACCAAAAAAGAAAGAGGGGCGAGAAAGAGGTCGGGGGGACCTCTGCCCCTCGCGAAATGGAGGAGGTGACCTCCAAGGCTGCAAATGATGATGCAATCGATCTCACTAGGAGTTCTCCACCTGGGGAGGGTCCCCAAATGGTTGCTGCAGCGACTGCTGAGCCAGTTGCTCCTTCTGCCGAGGTAAGTGTCTTGTCTCTTTGGACTTTCCTTCTATGTTGGTTTTTCTTTTGTTTATGTCTCTCTTTGCAGGCAGGGATAGCTGCCGAGGTGGAGGTCCTGGTTGCTGAGCAGGTCGCCCAGGCTGCCAAGGTGAGTACCTCGCTTTTTGCTTTTCCCTCTATCTTGTATGTTAGTCTCTTGTTTCTTGACATGAGGTCGGTTTTTGCAGGAAGGGGGTGCTGTCGAGACCTTGATGCCGCCGAGGTCGGAGGTGCCAGACGTGGACCCCCCATTGCTGAGCAGGAGAGGATTAGTTAGACACTTATCAAGGGGCCGAGTCTCGAGGTTCCTAAAGTCGCGCCTACCACCTCAGCAGCGCTGTCAGGTTCGTCGCAGGGGGCTTCCCGGAGCCAGTACATAGCTCATCGCTTTGGGAAGGGCCTCACCTAGGTGCGACTAGACCATGTAAGTGCATCGGTCGACCTGAACTCGCTGTGGAGCGCTGGAGTGACTGCCGAGAAGTTCTTCCCCCAAGGTTCGCTGACCTCGGATGACCAGGGACTGATCGAGGGGGCTGGGCCCGTGGAAAGCTTCGACGCCACCTAGGTCTTTCTGCAAAGAACTATAGCGATTGTGGACCACTGGAAGCATAAGTGGTCTACACAGCAGGAGGATTTGGTTAGGCTGAGGAACCGAGTTCAACCTCTGAAAGACGAGAACAAGGTCCTGAAGGAGGAGAATAAGGTGCTGAGTCCCACCCTCGGTGAGGCAAAGATGCAGGGCGCCGAGCTTCAAGCAGAGAAGGCAGATCTCGCCAGGGTTCAGAAATCGTTGGAGATTGCCCTGCGCTCCAATGAGAATTATGCTTCCTAGGAGGGCGAGCTGCAGGAGCTCGTCGCGTCGTCCCGAGGTCAGGTGCGGAGCTTGGAAGATGAGGTGACGTCTTCCTAGG